ACTGGGGAAGCCCACTCACTAGCTTCTATGGGTGTAATTACTCCATCCTTTTCCAAAGCATCAATGTGTTCAATCACTTTTTGTCTAAGCCTCAAAGGAACTTCATAGGCTTTTTTGAAAACGGGTCTATTTTCCTTCAGAATCAAATCCCCTTCAAAACCAATAATTGGATCCAAAAAACTATTCCTAAAAACATGGCCAAACTTACGCTTCAAATCCTCCATTGTGTTACCAATCGCATTTACAGAAATGTTGCCGACTATCTCATTTGAAAAAGTTTTACGCCATTTTGGGAAGAAGAAATCCAACCATTTCCTTCCAAATAGGGGAATGATTCTGCGCGAACGCTTAAGATTTTTGAGAATCACCAGTTCCAATTGCTGACCACAGGTTCCGTTTACCTCAACTGAAACCTTGACACATCCCAGCACTTCCAGATTTGCTCCATCCACGACCATCAACCTGTTACCACAGACAAACAGACATAACACATTGAATATTTCTCACTGTAAAACATCGTCGCTAAAACATTACCGCCTTCTGTTGAGTACACTGTGGTGGGTAGTACACTGAACAGATGGCGGTAGTGTGCAAACGTCAAACGCAAGGGAATTGACTATGCGCGCCACAGGTGGCGGTACTACCAACTATGATACTTTTAAATTGACCGTTAAATGCTTGTTCGATGAACAACTTGCGAGAGTTATGTCTGTTTGTCTGTGCTGTTACTGTACGGTACTAAAGGCAAATGGCCGAAATTGTTTCGATAATCCCGCTCATCGATTACACTCACCGCTGAGCCACAGTCAACCTCCATCTGCAATTTTACATGCTCAACCAATGGCTCCAAGAAACATGGTTCGTTTAGCCGCTTTATAGAAGAAATGTGCATGCAGTTTTCTTCGGAATCTGACCCACTGTCCTTCAGATCTTCCCTGAGCCGTTTAAAGTAGTCCGTACTAACATTTGTGGGCTTAGGCGTATCCTCTGGTGTATCGACAAATTTAACGTGCATCTTCTTCTTCTTCTTAAGCTCAAAGCAGTACTTTTTAGTGTGACCTTTTTTATTGCAAAAGCTGCAAAAATATGGCTTCCTAAGAGTTGGAAAAGACCTACTTCTACTCCTGCTATGGCTACTACTATGGCTTCCATTATTTCTACCTCTTCTGTCCCTGCTTCTGGGCCGGTGAGAGCTGTAGACCTTTCGTCTGTTATCATCAACTTTTGCTACTATCGTATAATTATTGCCATTCATCATTCTAGTCCTTACTCCCGCAGACTCTCGATTTACGATGATTTTCTCTACCTTTGCCAAAGTCAAATCCTCCTCTTCAATAAGCCTCTGTTGAACCTGTTTGTCCAAAACTCCCATTACCAGCTTGTCCCTGATAGCCGTATCCTTGAAGGCCCCAAATTCACAGCTTTCCGCCTGAAGTTTAACTTTCAAAATGAAATCTTCAGCTGCTTCTGATTCGCCCTGCACCATGTTATAAAACTTATAGCGCTGAAACATATCGGTATCAGCCTTATCAAATCGGCGCTTCAAAGAATCGACAATCGACTCATAAGTTTTCTTTGCCAAATCAACGCCAGGGTGCAAGAGCTTAAGCTCACTGTAAGTTTCCCTACCGCACAGCCCAAGAAAATATGCTAGCTTCTCTTCCGGTGGGATTTTATTAATCTTATAAATCCATTCAATTTGTTCCACATATTGTGCAAAGCTGGTAGAACCAGGAACAAAAGCTTCTATGGAACCGACTAGCGGCATAGCCTGTCTTATTAGGGAAAAGCAGGCAAGAGAGAAAAACAAATTCTAACTATTAGAATATCTCGAAACAAAGCAAAAACAAAATGAAACACGTAGGGTAAACGCTCCTATAGTTGCGGTACGTTAGAAGCGTTAGGTTCCTATAGTTGTGTATTGAGTCTCCATACACAACTATAGGAACCTAACGCTTCTAACGTACCGCAACTATAGGAGCGTTTCCCCTACCTTGTTTCTCCTGTTTTTCCAACCAAAATCTGGCTTGGACCGAGGTACACCACACTACCGTTTCATTCCGAGCTAACAACAGCTCCTATATCAACAGCCCAGATGGCCGTGTTGCTTCTTCTTGGTTCCACAAATCAAATTTCCAACGCCTTTGCAAAATTAGCCGGTAAATTATTTCACCGCACCTGCCGGGCAAAGCAAAAGAAAAGAACCACTTTCTTAACAAAAAAATACTCCACTTTTTATAACAACAAAAACAATACTGCCGACGGAAAACAAAAAACTCAACGCGATGGCCTCGTCAATAGTAGCACAATATTACAATAAGCAAAACGCCACTAAATAGCAGTTGGCTGTTACTTACTCACTACCGTTCGGCAAAACTTTATCCAGCAACTGCCGAAAAATTAGCCACTATTGAATTTTCCTTCACTTGAACCGAAATCTTGTCCTCGTACGCCACTTTAAATTTGTTCACTTTAGGGACTTCTTTCGACGCGGAGTATATAAAATAATAACACTAGTCTCTAGTTCTGAGTTCTAGTAAAAACTAAACAGATGTTTATTGAAAGGCCTTTTTATATGTAAACATTCGAACAGTTTATATTTCAACTACAAAGGATAACTGCATTCATTCTGTTCATCCAATTCATTCTATTCAAACCATCCTAATGATGGGTTCGGAACAGTTGGTCGAATACGACCGCACTCCTACAGAAATGTCATTTGTTTTCAATTTCAAGCATCCATGGACGTGAACATGGAGGATGTTATGTATACATTTGTGCGTTAACTTTTAGAAGCTGACATCTCTTCAAATGAATGACACATTTATTTTTCGAAACATTATAGAGGTACAAAGGAACCATGCTTGGAAAATCCGTTCAATATAAGGGCTTAAACGCATCGCCAGGACCCCAGAAGTGCTGGAACCAAAACGTGCGTGCCAGCTATTATTCATTTTCATGGGTGGTAATTACTGTTAAAAGAGATAGATTTGAACTTAATTATGCTAAGTGAAAGGTTGTAGATGTACACCCAACCGGTGGATGTAAGATTCGCTTACAATTATGTGGGATTCATCATCAGAGGATGTAGGTGGAGACCGCATGAACGATGACCATGCATGAGACCGTCGAAAAAAATTGGAAAAAGGTTGCCGACTGGGACTCGAACCACGAACGTTGTGATTTTTTTCTGCTGGAGAGATTCGAGGCAAGTGTGTGCGTCGTTCTGCCATGTTATACATTTTTTTTTTTTTTTTTTTTTTTTATTATAGTCACTTTAACGCTCTTGGGTCATTCGTGACTTGTCCGGGGGTGAGATTTGAACTCGTGACTTTGGCGTGAGTGGTATGGATGTTAACCACTACGCCGGGGTCGCCCCCATGTTATACATAAAAATCAAGGTAAATGCTTGCTTGTGAAGATGAAAGCACAGACAGAACACGAAATAAAATAGGCAAAAAACCATTACATCGCCTGCAAGGTCAACTTGTAACATTCGCTGCGATGTTCATGAACAGAGGATGATAGGAAATGGAACTAACATTCATTGTAATAAATTTTTGGTTTGCGTGTAGTATATCTGGAAAATACTGATTTTATATATTTTTTTAACGCCGGTCTCTGTTCCACAATCTAGTGCCAATCACCGACGTACATCGATTGCCATCTATTGACGGCAATTGAATGTGCAGGACCTACGTAGGATATCGCACCCATTCAATTCAACACACATGGGATTGGACCAACGGCTTTACTTCTGTTCCGAAGGAACACGTGACCAGAGATTTTTATGCCTCAGAAAAATCCCACCCAGACAAATTGGGGTGAGAAAGCAGTCACGCTTACCACTACACCACCGGCGCCTGCTGGAAAATACTAATATCAAAAATTAATGCAAGCGTCCAATCATGATGGCCATTTTTTAGTGGCAATTACTCCAAATCAATGGTTAAAACTCTATAGATTTCTTTTGGGTGAAATAATCAGCCACCTTTAACGGGTTTTATCGTTCCGATTGGCCACCCACAACTCCAATCGGTTCCTTGTCTGTTCAGTTTGTAAGTAGATAGTCATACCTTTAAAGTAGTGGTTCAATCTTAAGATGTGGTAACCAAATTGCCGAGAAACAGTCATGTCAACATGAATCGACACGCATTTTGCTCGGGACCTTTCCGGGTTTTTCCGTTCCGGCTGGCCAACCACGGGTCAATTAGGTTTCTATATATTCAAAATTAAACTAGATAGCCATATCTTTCGATTGGTGGCTGAATCATAACGATGGGTCATCGCATTGCTGAGAACCAGCCATGTCACAGGCAAAAATGTGCGTCTATCTTTTTAAAAAACTGTCGCATTAATGGCCCTTCACTCATTTTCAACTTCCATTCAATTTTCATACTGCCGTACTCTAACGGAACTATCCACCTACCCTCTTCTAAAGATCATTCTCTAGCTAATAAATCATCACACTAAAGCTTCATGTTAGCATTTCCAACCAACTCTGAAAATCGTTTACTTCGCGTATGAAGTAACATAAAAACACTTTGAACGATAATCATTTCCAAATCTGGAATTTGAACATTTAACCGAGCAATAGTCGAAAGATGTGTCCATCAGTATGGTTTCCTCCTGGGACTGGATCAACGAGTCATGCTGGATACGGTCAGTGGCGTACAGTTAATGTTGTTAATAGAATAAATTTTATTCGTATTTCGTGTCTACACATCTTCACAAAATCAGATAAGATTTGAATTCACAGTGAGATAAACAAACCAATGAAATTTTCAAAGGTCATAAATGTTCGAAATAAAAAGTTTAGAGTGGGATGCCTCTAGGCAAAGTATGTATGTATTTCAAGAACCATACAGGCCATCATTACTAAACGTGAAATCCTGTATGGCACAATGAACACAGCAACCATGCATTTCACCGCACCTTAAAGTCAAATCCATTTTCGTTCACATCGGATCTAGGAAGACGTATTTTCCACATTGCCGTTCCCGACCATGAGTGACAGCGACGAGAGCCGTTCATTTGCCAGTATGATTGCGGACAACGAACCTGATCCGACGGAGGTAGAGGAACCGGGACCAATTGGTTCGGCAGTAACGGAAGGATACTCTTTGGTAATCCTGATCAAATCTCTTGTAATATCTGACGTCCCTGAAGATGACCCTCGTATGTTGGACATCTGCATCATACTGGGAGATACCGAAGCCAAGCTCTCCGGAACCATGGCAGAGATCAACGGTCAACGGCGTGGCAGTGCGATAAGGTATGTTTCGTATAAATGATCTGAGTTTAAATTCAAAAACTCATCTGTAATTTGTTCCCGTCCAGTGTTCCTGCTTCCAACGCCAACGAATTCAAGCAATATCTGATGGATCACAGCCTACGTATAGCCATCTGCCATGAAGCGAACGAGTTAGGTCGATCCACTATTCAGCTGGCAGCTACAAATCTGGCAAAGTTCGAACCACCTGAATTTGAGCCAACGATGATCAAGAATGGCTTCCTGATCGAACAAGGGGCGTGCTCGATTGGAACGATCAATCTACTTCTGAAAACTGATCGCGTTAAACCAGCTGTCGAGCTAGATGCATCGATGCTCGAAGACGATGACAGTGTGATGTACATACTGAACGATTCTCCACTACGTCGATCCAGCGAGTATCAGGAAGATACTATGAGGCAGTTGCTGACATGCAAGAAATGCAACGTCCTGAAAAGCCCCAGTGAAATCAGCTGTAAGTACGAACTGATCGATGGTATTTTGGTGAATAATGATTACCCGAAAAAGGATCCGGATTTGGAGACAATTAAGCGAAAGATTGAGCAAATCGAACGGGAAGCTAAACTGTACCCGGTGGGTAAAGAGCAGGAACCACCGAAGGAAGCAGCGATCGAGCGTTTCTGCAAAGATTGCGGAGGGTACTCGGTTACCGGAGCTACTTGTGCCAATTGGAAAAGACCAACGGCTGTTCCGGTGTTTGAAGCTAGCTGTGGATACCCTGAAGGAACAGCAAAGCGGTAAGAAGGAAATGGCTACGCAAAAACTTATTTAAAGATTACTGAATATTGGATCTTAGTTTCAGCGAAAACGTGTCCGTCGGGATGCCAGAAAACGTGGCACGGATTTCGGAGCCCAACTTTGCTTTCTCCAGAGATGCCAATGCAAGGTAATTGATTACAACTCAACTCGGCATTCACTTCTTGAAAAGGACGTCAATAATCTCACTATTTTGCCTCAGGCTCTATAGAACTGATAAATGGCTGAAAAGAGTTTGTGAAATTTATATTAGCTCTATATACAAAAGGTTAGCGAACATGCTGAATCACCGACTTAGTTAGTTTATTCGGGGGAATTTTTGTTTTTTAGTGGTCGTTATTTGGTCAGTTTTCCTGATAGAACGTTTGAGTTTTAAATGGTGTGAATTGGGATTAAAGTGGACAGAGCGGAATGTGACCACCAGAGCTTAAAATTATTGGGCCTTATTACGGGTGTCACTACACGGTGATAAGAAAGTGATACTCAGAATAAGAGCCGTGATTGCCGTACAAATCAAATGGGAATCACTTCCGTGACGACAAGTGACAAGTTTTCACCGTGAAGTGACATCCGTAATAAGCCCCATTGAGTCGAGATGGGAAATGACAGGTGGACAGGAACTCACGGTCTCCCAGTATTGGTGAGTTCTTTGCCGTTAATGTTCACGAAAACTTCACTATTTTGCCATACAGAAATTCAAAACAAAAATTTTTATCTGCGGATTTGGACAGTTTTTGACCTGTTTCATACGACCGGAAGGTGTATGCTGGTCACAAATGCCGTGAAAAACTGATTTCCTCCACAATTAATCAATCTTTGATGTGAATTTCGCTAATAAACACGAGGAGCATTTCTTATAGCAAACTTGCCATAACAAAATGGGCATGGTTCATTTTAGTAAACAAACTAACACTTCTTCCGACTGTGTCACCTCTCTTACTCGCCTAGGTGCAAGTCCATCTACAATAGCGGTCACCAGTGCGCAAAACAGTCAGGTTCATTGAATCATTTTGATATGAATAAAAAAAAAACTGTCCAAATCCGCAGATAAAAATTTTTGTTTTGAATTTCTGTATGGCAAAATAGTGAACTTTTCGTGAACATTAACGGCAAAGAACTCACCAATACTGGGAGACCGTGAGTTCCTGCCTACCTGTCATTTACCATCTTGGACTTGCACTAATTCATCGCGCACAGGCACTGTTGGAGGAGGACGAAAATTGTTGTGAAGGTCCTGCTGATCAGTTGCTTGGCTCTACATACCTGGTATCGCGAAAGAATTTTGTTTTTATTTGGTAATTTCTGCACAGAAAACGATTGAAAAGATGTCAAATATTCACACTTTGAAAATATCAGCGAGACCTGTAAGATTTTCACCAAAATTTCAACTGCTGACCGTTCTGTAATGTGTTCGGCAAACGAAACTACAGTGCTTTTCCAATTTTGTGAGGTTCCGATTTAGACAACATCTCAAAAGTGGTTTCATTTTGTGCGGCTGATGCCAACGAAGCAGAGGTTCCATTTTGCAACTTGGCCATTTCTGCATACGTCAGTTTGGAGCGTTCTTTTATGGAACGCTTTACATTGTTAGTACGCTTTTTGTACGCGGGGCATTCCTGCAAAGCATGAAGAGCTTATTTGCCACTGTTTGAAATTTTTATTTAAATTTTCTTGAAGTCCTCTTCCGAATTCCTTAGGAATAAAGTTCAGAAAATCGTTTCAATTTTCATTACAATTTCTTTCGAACCGTATTCAGGGTTTTCTTGGAATTCTACTCAAAACTACCTTGGAATTCAGGTTTTACATAGAATCTAGAGTTCATCAGGACTACCTTGATAGCAGATTGCACTTGATGTTTTTCTTACAGTTCTTCCCAGAACTCCCTTAGAATGAGTTCCTTAGAAATTATCATCCAATTTCATGAGCCTTGAAAATTATGCAAGGTCCTTAATCTTGATGTTTTAAGTATAATTAGTTTTAAGTCCATAATTTCAAGAAAATTGTTCAAATTTAAAATTTATGAAAAATATTCATATTTCTGAACCTATAAAAAAACAATTCATGCTTAATAAATTTTAAAATTTATTTGGATGTACTAAACGTTAATAGATCGTTCAATGAGTGAACGGAAATGAAGAGGAAAATGAAATTTTGCATAGTTAAATGTATTAAAATCTTTAAATAATTCTTAGTAAGAGAAATTGAACATTCTCTGAGTAATAATGAAATTCCCTGATAATTCCAGGTTTCTCTAGGAAAAATAAAATTCCCTGTGGAATCTCCCAAGTTTTTTACATGTAGTTAGGCAACCTGTATTTCTATAGTAGCATTTTCTTCTTATTCCTGACATAAGATGGAATAATTGCTGGGGATAGGAGCTCAAGATGGAATAGCCTTATTTGTCCTTCTATTATTTGTTGATTATTCTCTATTCCAATCCCGTAAATTTTCTTCGCAAGTGTTCAGAAAGAATTTTCCAGAATTTGGCACAATGAACGTTTGCCACAATAACAAATCAGTTTAGTGACCATTAGGTCTACTGACCATCGGCCAGGCCTAATCACCCAGCATCCACCCGGAGCATGCAACATAACCTGTTTGATATATCTCGTGATAAAGTTCTGTCCAGTTAGAATCCGGAATCACTTATTGTGTTGCAGCGGCAATTATTTTACAGCGGTTTGTTTACCTAGGCACCCATTTTCTGTGGTATAAATTTCACGGTGTTTCGTGCAGTGAGTCAAAAATTATTCCAGATGGATTTGATTTTGAAATACGGTTCAAATTGATTTTCACACAAGACTTTTTGAAAAAAAAATCTATTCTTCTTCCGCAGCAACGGTTTGACGTTTGGTTTCGATCCACTAATAAAGATTGCTAAAGTACAACTATGTTAGTGATTTGTTTTCATCGGGAAAATTTTCTGCAACGGAAGAAAAATCCCAACGAAAACCTTTACGTATACATTTACCTGACGCCAGGGATCGGGTGCTTCTCAATTTTTTGCTAGTAAAACACACGCTGTTGCGAGACTGCACTTTCATTTCCAAAGAGACGTGAAAGAGCATTTTAAATCGTGCAGCACATTTCATTCTTCTTGTGCTGGAGAGTTGCCTCTCCAACGGTGTTAAGTCTCTTTCTTTCTCTCTCTTTGTTTCTCCGACAGTGTACGTTCTATATAACTGTAGCGTTGTAGTCAGTGCTGTCAATTTTCATATCATTCGATTGAAGATGAACCAATACAACTATTAAATCGATTCTGTGAAAACAATTCTCGTGCCCATCATTGAAGAGCCCCTTTCTCATTCGAAGCTAATTGTCACTGTCAATTGAGTCACCCACTATCATTTGATATACGACAGTGGAGTGTGGAAGAAACCCAGCAAAATGGTCCCGAACAGACAAGTCGACCCGATGTTGGATCAATTTAAGGCTAATTTAAGGCCGATGTCGACCCAATGTCGTGTTGATGTCGGGTCAATTTGGGGTTTATGTCGGGTCAACATCGGGTTGGGGTTTGATAGAAGTCAGGTTGGTGTTGGGTTGGCTTAGATTTTTTGCCGGAATGACGACCAGAGCTAACCCCCTTGTGAAGAAAATTACATACCGATCTTAAAAAAATGTCTTTTGGAAAAGCATCAAAATTTTCATTTTCCTACGCTTTTGAATACCATACAGTCACTGCAACATATATTATATGAGTGAAAAAATATTCTGCACCCAGCCTAAAACATGCAGTTATTCTTGTAAATCTCTAAGCCACGTCTCTCCCGATTGAAAAGTGCTATTCCCGTCATAACACCGTGCACTACTCGATTGTGCTACACGCAAGTAGCACCTTAGCTGTCCAACTTACTTGATACTTGATGGGCTACGAATCGCCAGGTTGATTCAACGCCCAACGAAGTACTCTTCTCCATTGGACTCGGTCCTGAGCCAATCGCTTCCAGTCGCCATGAACGTTTAGCGACCTGATGTCCTCCTCAACTGCAAATAGCCAACGTGTCCGAGGTCTACCCCGGAGTCGACGACCTCTACCGGGTTCTCTGCTGAATATAATATTTGCTTGTCGTTCTTCCGGCATCCGCACTACATGCCCAGCCCACCGTAGTCTGCCGTGTTTTATAAGCTTCACTATATCCGTACCGTTATACACTTGGTACAACTCGTGATTCATGCGACGCCGCCAGATGCCATTCTCCTGTTTACCGCCGAGTATTGTTCGCAGCACCTTACGCTCGAAGACACCAAATGCTCTCCGGTCAGACTCTTTTAACGTCCACGATTCGTGGCCGTAGAGGGCTACCGGAAGTATCAGCGTCTTATACAGAGCGAATTTCGTTTTCGTTTGCTACAGGACTTCAGCTGGCTACGTAATCCGTAAAAGGCCCTGTTTGCAGCTGCAATACGTCTCTTCACCTCGCGGGTAACATCATTATCGCATGTCACTAGTGTTCCAAGATACACAAATTCTTCCACTACCTCAAATTGTTCATCATCTAACAACACTACACTACCAACACCACTATTGCTCCCACGCTGTCTACCGGCTACCATGTACTTCGTTTTGGTAGAACTTATCGTGAGCCCAATCCTCGCCGTCTCCCTCTTAAAAGGCACAAACGCCTCTTCCACTGCTCTACGGTCAATTCCGATGATATCGATGTCGTCCGCAAAGGCAAGGAGCATGTACGATCGTGTGATGATGGTACCGTTCCTCTGCACACCAGCTCTCCTAATCGCTCCTTCAAGAGCAATGTTGAACAGTAAGTTTGAAAGTGCATCACCCTGCTTCAATCCATCTAAGGTCACGAACGAGGTCGAAATCTCATCTGCAACCCTTACACTTGATTTCGATCCATCTAGCGTTGCTCGAATCAGTCTAATTAGTTTCGCCGGAAAACCATGTTCTAGCATAATCTGCCAAAGCTCATTTCTCTTCACTGAATCGTATGCTGCTTTGAAATCAATAAACAGATGGTGAGTCTGCAAGTTGTACTCCCGGAATTTATCAAGGATTTGACACAGGGTAAACATTTGATCCGTCGTTGATCGGCCCTCACGAAAACCAGCCTGGTATTCACCGACGAAGGACTCCTCAAGCGGTCTCAATCTGTTAAACAGAACGCGTGACAGTATTTTGTACGCCGAATTCAGAAGAGTTATTCCTCGATAATTGGCGCACTCGAGTCTGTGCCCTTTTTTTAATTATGGGCAAATGAGGCCATCCAACCAGCTAGCAGGCAGTTCTTCGTCCTCCCATATCTTCGTTAGAATACGGTGGATTGCTTGATGCAGCTGCTCACTTCCGTGTTTGAAAAGTTCGGCCGGGAGCTCGTCCTTCCCAGCAGCCTTATTGTTTTTCAGCTCACGTATTGCCTTTTTAACCTCGTCTAGCGTTGGAGGCTCCACAGCTTGATCGTCGTCTGCGATGTTTACTCTGTTCCTCGATACTCCCTCACTCTCTCCATTCAACAATGTCTCAAAATGTTCTTTCCACCTGGCAGCCACCATTGTTTTATCTGTCAGCAAGTTCCCCTCAAGGTCATTGCACATGGCGGGAGATGGCGCTGTTTTACTCCGCACACCATTGACAGTCGCGTAGAACCTTCGCATATCGTTCTGTTCCATACTTTCTTGCGCCTCAGCAATCACGCGTTCTTCGTATTGCCTTTTCTTTCTGCGGTGGGTTCGTTTCTCAGCTGCCCTTGCTACCTTGTACCGCTCTCTGTTCAGCCGGGTACCAGACACTAACATCCGGCTTCTGGCAACGTTCTTCTCATCCGTCAACCTCTGGCACTCCTCATCAAACCAGCCATTACGTGGTCGTCTTTGAGCTGTACCTATCACTTCTTGTGCTGTTGTGTTCACCGCTCCGTGGATTGTGTTCCACAGATTGTTGAGGTCCTCGTTCACGTTGATTTCGCTAATCCGCTCATCAAGCTTCTGGCGGTACTCTGCAGCAACACCTTCTACTGACAAGCGATGGATATTGAAACGCATCGATCTCCGGTTCGTTGAATTCGTAACGGTCGATAGACGCGCCCGAATTTTGCAGACAACAAGATAATGATCTGAGTCAATGTTAGGCCTCCTAAAAGTCCTTACATCAATGACATCTGAGAAGTGCCGGCCATCCACCAACATGTGATCGATCTGGGTGCAAGTTTCGCCATTTGGGTGTCTCCAGGTGTGCTTTCGAATATTCTTGCGTGCAAAGTAGGAGCTACTGATGGCCATACCTCTAGCAGCGGCGAAGTTTATCAGTTTCAGGCCGTTATCATTGGTTACTGTATGTAGGCTCTCTGTACCAATGATTGGACGAAAGAAATCTTCCCTCCCGACCTGCGCATTTGCATCTCCGATTACAATCTTCACGTCGTGTTTTGGGCACTCATCATAAGTTTTATCGAGACTGTCATAAAACGCGTCCTTCACGTCATCGGATTTATCGTTGGTTGACGCATAGATGTTGATCAGGCTGTAGTTGAAGAATTTGCCCCGAATCCTTAATACACAGATGCGGTCGCTTACCGGTCTCCACCGCATAACACGCTTCATCTGCTTCCCGATCACTATGAACCCTACTCCATGTTCTGCCCTATCGCCACCGCTGTGATAGATATGGTACTTGAAGGAAGTGTTGGCGATGGGATCCACCGCCCGGAATTCACGTTCTCCGGATCTAGGCCACCGTACTTCCTGAATAGCAGCTACGCTCACATTCACTTTTTGCAGTTCACGAGCCAAAAGGCCCGCTCGTCCAGGTTCATTTAAGGTTCTGACATTCCAAGTACCGAGTTTCCATTCATTGTCCTTATTTCGTTGCCGGGTCGGTTGCCGAAAATTCCGTTCGTTGTTTTCTCTTTCTTCGTTTTTCTGAGTAATGTTGGGGGTTTCAGTATGCTACCTTACCGGGGTCGCGATACCTACATCATGTTGGTGGGGCTGCCACCTTAGGTGTAGCTGACGTGATACAGCATTTATTATTCAGCCGCTCGCTCCGAGACAGACGCTGTTTGAGCCGCACCTCCATGGTGAACAGACGCTCGAGGGTCGCACCTCCTCACTATGCTATCACCACGATCCGGATCCATGTTTTTATCGTGGTGACATTGCCCAGGCTACGCTACCAGCATCTTTTGCTGGCGGTCTTTGTCATCGGCTGACCCGTGGAAGCGTGAGGTAGGAACTTGTGAGGACCAGAGCTGTTGGGACAACACTCCTTCCAGTTTGTCGACTCACCATTTGTAGCCCGCTGTCCAACTACTCTCTCCTAAATATGAAATCTCTCTTTCCAGTCTCTTTCTCCTTCCAAATATAAGGGACGCGCTCCCTTATTTTAGAGTAGAACCAGTGTTTTTTGCACCACTCTGAGTTTTTAGTCGATCCCTGCCTGACGCTAAGAGAAGGGGTGACTATACGGCATATATTTTGGTGCGTAGCTTTTAAAAGAAAAGTACTAGCTCGGTTTGCATAAGTTTAAGATAAGATTAACAATAATTTATTTTGGTAGCTGATTACTCTTGGATTAACCATGAGTAACCACCATGGCAGGCCTATTTTATGCCGATTTTCGGATATACTTTTTCTCAGAATTATAAAAAAAATATACCCTTTATATTTTTCTTACATAAATACAAACTATATGGTTCCCTACAACTTTATCTCAGACGTCATTAAGATAAGAAGTGACATTTTCGTGCAAGGATTTATTAAAAAATGTCGAATACACCATTTTGAAAAAATTGCAAGATTCAAAAGGGTCAAAGCGGTACTGTAGTGATAATCGTGATTACCTCTCACCCCAGCAGGCCTGGGTTCAATCCCAGTCGGCGCCGCCGGGATGTTCTGAGGCATAACATCTCTGATCACCCCTTCCTTCGGAAGGGAAGTAAAGCCGTTGGTCCCAGGTTCATGAGTTGATGGGTCGATATGTAGGGTCCAGGTGTGGAAGCTGCCTTCCTGGCGTCGGTAGACCAATGCTAAGCACGGAAAACAAACCAAAGGAAAAAAAATGGTCGAATTTAGCACAAATGCAATTGTTCAAAGTTTTATGAAAATCCGAGAAGGTCCAGTCAAAAACATTTTGTATTGCTATATAGCATAGCTATCACAGACAAACAGACGTAACTCTTCATTCTGGATCATCGTTTGCGCATTTAACGATTGGTTTGAATGTTATCGTTTCCGTGAACTACTCGCTGCAACGCTGGCATCGGATTACTTTGACGTTTCTATATATTTGGGTTTTCTTGCATGCATCATTGTTTGCAAATCAGCGAGCAAGCTTTTTCCGCGAGAAACCTGCGAGATGTCGTTACTACAGTGTAGAAATACTCAGAGGGAGAAATGGGTGGAGAAAACGAAATACAATTCAGCAGGGATTTGTTCCTAAATTATCTTGCAACCCTTGTTAGAAGCTAGCATTTCACATGACCTTTACTTTTGATTCGATTTACGTGCAAAATAATAATTGAGTGCATCGCAACATTTTGCACATTTCTTGGTGCTATTAGTTAACCAACTAAGATCAATTAATCAATTAAGTTAGAATATTGTAAAACTAGTCGAATTTGAGAAGCACACGAAACATAAAGGCCCAAATAACAATTTAGGTTTTATGAGGGTTCTGTATACCATGATTTAGACTTGTAGAGTGCTTTATAACCTCAATAAAACTTGTAATGCTACTTGGGGGTGATTGAATTTCTGTTCGATTGCAATACTCTCAAATTTAATCTAGTAAGAAATTCTAATGGGAATGTTCGATTGGCTCAGATTTTGACAGTTTATTTGGCTCAAAACATTCTCTCCCTCTGAGTATTTCTACTGCAGTCTTATGTTTGGCGGTACTATGTTTTGAAGATAATTTTATTCAAAGAGTTATGTCTGTTGGTCTGTGCTCTTATGTTGATTAAAATAGATTAAAATCTATCTCCAGTCATGAAACTTTCTGTAATGGAAGTTTTTAAAGCTGCCATAATATTCATTTATTATTTATTATCTTAACCCTTACCGATGTTTATTTCACAGATTTCATCAAGTGCGATCGGAAAGTTATCCATTACATCCAATGCAACATCAAGGAACCAATATCTTTTGTCCGCAGTCCGTTGGCCATCGGTAAGTAGAATTCCCGCAATCTCCAAATTAGAGCCCTCAAAATTTAATATTTCAACGCACTTCTTCTAGATTCTGTAAACGTTGTAGTCTCAACATGGACTGGCTACCCCTGTACAGTGCTTGTCCAAAGTGTGGTTACATGGATCCTGCTGATCGTCCTACCACGCCATACCCAACTGGACCGAAAACCGATCCCAACCGACTAGATTCATGGATGGGTAGCTTCGAGCTGCCCGATCATCGCCGGAGCCGTTCATCAATCGGTACCATCCGTTCCGTTTCTTTGGATTTGAAATCCTGCCCATTGTGTAAACTACGTGGCGGACGTTGTCCTGACTGTAAAAAACGCACTTCCTTGGCACATGCCGATCACCCTGAACAATATTGCACCACTCAATCATCGACTTCAGATTCGGAAATGCTTGCCAAAAGGGTAATGGAGAGACCCAAAACCAGACCATCTCTGCGGGACCGGTTCGGTGGATTTCCGAAGAAAATAGACAAAGCTGCTCGAGTGTCGGAGCTCTTCAAATTGTACGGGGAGGATTCCACATCCAAACAAGAACAACCGAGGCGTAGCTCTGTTGTTTCGCTTAATGTAGAAGAGATCTTGAAAAAGACAGATACGCACAAAAGGAAGATTCTTTCGGGAGGGGTACAAAGCATCGAACTGCGGAAAGTTGACTCAAAGCCGGCAGATAGGGCCAATATCAATGGCGAATCGCTCAGTTCCAAGCAGATTCGTAAAAACCAACGGAGTTTGCTGCAGCGAATCAAGAAACAAAATCGAGGGAAATATTCCTACCATTCCGGTAATCGCTATCCTGGAATAGTCATTGGGCATCGCGAATGCATACACCAGGGAAGCTCCGTCCCACCGCACATGGGTTGGATGTGGAACGTGAAAACTCTTGGAATTGGTAAAATTAGGAAGGGATGGCGCCCTGGTGCGGTCCGGAAACCAATTAAAGAGTTGATGCAGCACTTTCTGGTAAGTTATCCACTGGATAATGTGCCTGTTAGTAGGAAGGGTGGACGCCGGCTCAGGTTCTCCGAAAATGATCCAATATCTTTGAAACAGAAACCAACTCTGCAAATCATTAAGAAAAATGGAGAGTACTGTATTGTCATGAATCCACTAAAAGATTCGGAATCATTGAAAACCGCTCAGGATCCGTATCTGCCCTGTGAACCGATAAGGTTCAAATTGGCGAAAGATCCCATGGTGGGAAAATTGTACCAGCTCCGACAAGCACTTAAAGTAAAGGGTTTCACCATGTGTGGATGTCCAGAATTGGAATCCTGTGAGCATAGAAGTGTGAAGGAGAAGAAGTTGATCAAAAAGGAGTTGAGAAAGCTGACGAAATGCTTGGCTCTTCCAAAGAGTACGGAACTAAAGGATGTCCCGATTGATAGTGAGTCTGAGATGGATCTTGAATTTACGCCTCCATCAGCCATGCTGAAATCAGGGCTGCGTAAGCCGGATGTCGTATGTACGGAGACTCAGTACTGCGTAGAAGATTACAAAGTGCATATACCAGCGGATAAAATGAAATGTAAACCTGGTCGAGAAGATCCTCAAGATGTTGGTAGTAAAGGAGTAAGGACCAAGCTTGGACGAGGAGCGACTCAAGGGGACACGAAAGATATCAAAGGTGGCAAAGGTGGTAAAGGTGGTAATGGTGGCAGAGGTGGAGCAGCTGGAACTAGGGTAGGTGGAGCATCTAGGGGTGGGGCAAGTGGTAAAGGAGCTGGTGCTGGTAATGTTGCTGGAACCGGGAAAGGTATTGGTGCGGGTGCAGGGAAAGGAGCAGGTGGTAAAGGAGTTGATGGTACAAGAGTTGGACCTGGAGCTGGTGTTGGAGCAGCAGGTTCGAAAGCGGGAGCGGCAGGGAGAAACAAGTGATTATATTTTTTATAACAGTATATTTTAGAATGCTTTGATTTAATATTGCAATGAATCATCGGTAGTTACTAGCAAATGTTTTTTTTTGAACCGGATGGATTGTTACAGAGTACAAAAGGTTCACCGCCCGGAGGGAAATCAAGCTCTAACGATGAAAGAATCCGGTAGAATGGTCGACCCTTGCGCTCCCAGTTCAAATTATCACCCAAACGTTCCAAAAGGATGTGGTATACAATCTACAAATGCATGCTACCCCACTCATTGCACTCCAATGGCTGCATGCTATAATCCTTGTTATACCGGATGTATGCAGTGATGTATGTATGTTTGATTGAGATTATTTACTAAACCCCAAATTGAGAAAATATGGCAATGAATTTAGTGTTTAAGGATGTTAATAGAGACAAAATTAAAGATTTGATCTTAAAACCACACTATTCGATTTTATTTTTATGTTTATGAAAACTAACTGGGCTCAAATGTGGTTTGGAAACATTCAGCACTCATCATATATGGAATGGGTAGGTATATGCGCTCTTGAACGTAACAAAGATTGTTCCGCCCATCGTGATAAAAAAAAATCATTTCAAAACAATTTCGTCTACAAATGTATACAAATCTCTTGTAACGAACGGCACAACCAACCGTTTTTGAGAGGTTTTCGAAGCTTCATGACAGTTCCATTCACTTAAAAATCATTTCACAAACTTAACAAGAGCTCCGATAAAACTTCTGGTATGTTTAAAGATCTTTAGAAATGGTCAGAGAGGATCGGGAAAGTTCAAGGGACTTTAAGACTTTACGTTAAGAAAATTCCGAAAATTTAAGCATCCACAAAAATTTCAGGAACAAATTTCAAGGACAAACACCCCTATCCTGTATTTCGTTCGAAACGAAATTCCTATATAAAAAATTATATTTTTGTATGAGAATTTCGTTTTGAACGAAATACAGAATAGGGGTGAAAGTCCAGAAAACTTCAAAGAAGCTGTAGTTTGTCAAGAAAATTGTGGGAACTTCATTGATGCTTCGTGAATTTTTAGTCTGATGCTGACTGGTTGCGGTACAAGCACATATCGTCGATAATAGACAATTATGTAATTGTGCAATTATTACAATTATGCGAAAACAGGGCTAAAACATTCACCTCCAATACCACCCAAGCACACAACACCCAATACCGAAACCATTCAACAATAACCCAAATTACATTCCATTCAACACACAATTTCAACCGAGATTGCCTCCAAGGAACATTTTTGCACCCCCTGTATTTCCAAAACCACTACCTTATCCAGTTCGTTTATTTGGAAGGCTCAATCGCGTTAGCTTTACGGAGCTAAAACCACTACCTAAGCCGACTCAAATGGAAGTAGATCCTTCCATCAGAAGCAAACAGGTCAACTATATGAATCTACGGCCTAACACTTACCAATTTCCTCCTAGGAACCCTTTTGTACCAGGTCCTAGCAAATTTCACGTAGAAGAGCTGCGAAATACAGAATTTACGAATTATTTTGACCCTTCAGAATATTATCTACAAGAACATAATTTCGATTATGCACTAAACGCATTTTACGCGTATGATCCCAATCCAATATCCAATGAATATGAAAATAAAAACGAAGACACCTCAGGAGCCATAAATGAACCGGCAGGTGACATTAACAACACAGATAATGTTAATTTTTCAACCGTATCAGAGTCAACAAAAGTGGAGACATAGGAAATAATTTTTTTTACCGTATGTATATACATGTACATACAGAATTTGGAGATCTGAAACTCCTGATTGACACAGGGGAAAATAAAAATTACATGGACCAATCTTTAAATGACCCTTCACGAGTGGAGAACACATTTTTTTGCGTGGTAAGAAGTGTGAATGGATCTCACTCAATTGAGAATTAGTGAAGTTTTCCCCTTTCAAAGGAAGACCAGCACTCACTTTCTATTTGCACAAATTTCACCCATTTTCGTTGAGCTAATTGGATATGAATCTCTGACCGATCTGAACATCAACATAATTACACCGTCTAATAAATTACAGTTCCCCCATTGCGATATACTAATGAAATAGAAATATCCTGACTCATACACAGTTAGCATTAATGCTAACGAACAAATTGGTTTAACTTTACCTACCGATATCACAAAAGGATACTTTTTTGTGGGAAGTGAATTGCCTCTAACTTAAGAGATAGTTGTACTCCCAGGAATTTATCATGCTGAAAATAATAAAGCAACAACGATGATTGAAAATAAGTGCCACGATGTTGCAAAAATTAACCCGAATAGACCCGTTTTCGTTGAATTAAACAATTTTGAAACTCAACCCGATACCCAAAGGAAAATTGAAGGCAAAACCGATTTAAGATTGCTAAAACAACTTCGATTAGAGAGACAAAAGTTTACAAAATTATATCGCAATTTGAAGATATATTTCACCAAGAAGATAAGGCTTTGACCTTCACTAATGGAATTAAGCACACCATCAAAACAAAGGACGACTTACCTATTTACTCGAAAGCATACCGGTACCCTTTTTGTCACAGAGAGGAGGTACAACGGCAAGTTCTGAAAATGCTTGATCAAGGCATTATCAGACACTCAAACAGTCCTTGGTCATCCCCAGTGTGGGAAGTACCAAAAAAGATGTATGCTTCTGTAATAATCAGTGTAATTCCTGAAATCGCAATAATGTCCGAGATTGTCTCCCTAGAAGACTCAAAGTGCCTACCCGAGCAAAGGATGAAAACAAAATGAAAACTAAATTTGATATTTTGATATAAGCGTTCATGATAACATATTTTGCCTACCGTGTGGTCGAGTTAGTTTTTTTTTTTAGTTAGTTTAAATGATCTTTATTTTAGTTTAACTTGGACGATTACCATATAAATTTTTACTAAGTGATTTAATTGCTTTCTTCATCTTTAGGTATGGGCAAAATTTAAAATTTGTTTTACAGGATTAGTCCTAGACTTAGTACACGGTCGACCACCTTGGTGGGATTGGTTTGTTTTGTTTTTAGAATTTGAAGAGAAACTACTTAATACTACTATTTACAGCTTAAAACTAACCTACTCTACTATATACACTTAACCTACTATGTACAAATTGCTTATTAAAGCATGTTCAGAAAGATTGCATTTTTGAATAAATTTAGTTGTCATATCATCAATTTTGGAATCTACTTTGGGAATTTCCGCCTCTTGATGGAGGTCTGCTATTCTTGTGTCGAATGGACGATCTAGGATCATCCTCAACACTCTATTCTGTGCAACCTGGATTTTGTTCCTGTGGGTCTGAGCGCACGATTCCCACACCGGGGCGGCATAGAAGATCGCGGGGGCTATGATCTGTTTGTAAACAGCCAGTTTGTTTTGCCTTGAGAGGCGGGATCTGCGGCAAATGAGCGGATACAAACACCTAACCAAGGCGGAGCACTTAACTAGGGTTTTCTCTATGTGCGAGCGGAACAGGAGCTTCTCATCGAACAACATCCCGAGATAAGTAACATCAGTGGACCACTCGACCCTTGTACCATCCATTATTACGGTACAGGAGGGAGACGGTTTAAGTTTTGGTGATTGTCTGTGAAGGAACATGATCGCTTGGGTTTTCGAGGCGTTGATTTTGATTTTCCACGAGGTGGCATAATCAGTAAGGGTGTCAAGGCATCGTTGCAGCTTGTTCGTAATTTCACGAGGCATCCTACCCTTGACGGCTATCGCGGTGTCATCTGCGAACAGAAAGAACACGCAACCGTCTCCTAGAGGAGGGATGTCCGACGTGTAGATGCTGTAAAGCAGTGGTCCCAGCAGACTCCCTTGCGGAACACCTGCTGGGATCGGAAATTGTCCCGAAAGGGAACTATTCAACGACACCCTGAACGACCTTTGCTGGAGATAGTTACGGGTGATTTTCACAAGGTATGGTGGAAAGTTGGAGTTACAAAGCTTGTATATAAGTCCGTCGTGCCAGACATTGTCAAACGCCTTTTCGACGTCTAACAAGGCCATGGCTGTGGACTTGGATACAGCTTTGTTACTTCGGATGTTATTCATCACCCGCACTAGCTGATGATTGGTGGAATGCCCCTTGCGGAACCCGAACTGTTCCGGAAGAAGAATGTCATGTTCCTCCACAAACTTGTTTAGTCGGCTGAGGATCAATTTTTCGAACAGCTTGCTCAGCGCTGAGAGCAGGCTAATCGGTCTGTAGCTTGACGGTAGTGAAGGGTCTTTCCCAGGTTTGCGGATCGGGATGATTTTTGCCACCTTCCAGATGCTTGGAAAGTTGTGCAGCTCCAAGCATCTGTTGAGGATGGCAGCCAGCAGCGAGTGGACCCTCGGGCTGATATTTTTCAACGCTAGGTTGAATATTCCGTCAAACCCGGGAGCCTTCATGTTTTTACTATATTTCAGCGCTGAGCAAATTTGTTCCTCTGTAATCCGTTCTTCTGGAGGGACGGCACAAGGGGAGGTATCTAACGTCTGGACGCACTGCACAACCTGGTTCTCGAGTGGACTTGGGATTGTAGAGCCAAGCAAATGCGATTGGGCAATGTGCTCCCCAATTGCATTGGCCTTCTCTTCGTTGGTGATAAGCCGTTCGTCATTGACTCTAAGTGGTGGAATGGGCTTGGGGTGAGACTTCAGCACCTTGGCAACCTTCCAGAATGGTCTGGAACGGTCGTCCAGGTTCTGAACGAGCCGCCCGAAACTCTCGTTCCGGATTGAGACCATTCTGGAAGCGATCTGCCGATTCAGATCGACCATTTCGTATTTACGCTGCAGATCCCCAGTCCGCTGAAACTGGCGTCTACGAACATTTCTGAGCCGAATCAAGAGTTTGGTGTGGGAATCAATTGCTTGAAACTTACCCCTCACAGGAACTCGTCGAACGCACTCTTCGTCAGCCACGGATATGGCTTGATGGAGACCCTCCAGAGCCCGGTCGATGTCCTCCACTGTGTCGAGTGGTGGGTTGTCGTCGATGTGGCGGTCGACCACGCGTCGAAACTGGACCCAGTTGACTCGATGGTAGTCCTTCCGCTGGCACGGTGCAGGGGCCACGTTGTAGCCCAGCTCGGTCAGCACCGGTTGGTGGTCCGAACTCAGGTCGTTGACGGCAACCGGCTTGGCTAATCTGGTGTTTGCCAAGAACAGGTCCAGCGTCGATGGGTTGCCCGCCGGTGATGTGAAGGTTGGTTCGTCCGGAAACCAGACGGAATAGAGACCATGCTGGGAATGGTCGAATAGCAGGCGGCCGTTTTGGTTCTGCTGGTAGTTCCGCCAGGCCTCGTGCCGGGCGTTCAGGTCCCCTCCGATTACGAAGCGGGCATTG